GTGCATTGAATTTGATGGGTGCTTTATAGAGATAGGGAGGAATTTTTCCAAGGCTTCTATCTTTGACCTGATTCAGGTCCTGTTGAAGTTAACAAAGGTGAGAAAATCATTGACTACAGTGGAAGCAGAGTTGAACTGAGCACTGTGGAAAATCACAGTCCCAATATGTGATGCACAAAGAATCATTCAAATTGGAACAGACCCTATTCCCATTCGTTATTGAATTAGTCAAAGTAATGCTGTTGTGGAGAGCAGTAGCCTTCAGTATTGGAGGACCCTTGTGTAAAGCAGAATCTGAAATGATCTATTAAGGAAATATCACTCTTCCCCCCCCCCAAATGTATTTTAACAGCACATAAGCAGTAGAAGGCACAAAGACAGAGCTGCTGGGAAGCCGCCCAAACCTAAATACAGCCCTTACAACAAACTCCAAAAGGGAACACATCCTCTAGGGGTAAGCCAATCACCTTTTTATTTTACTTTTATTTTAACCCTGCTGAGTAGGTTTTTTAGAAAATGTAAGTGGAAAAATGTTTAAAATGAGAGGAACAGTGTAAGCAATGGGGGTATACAAGTGTCTGAATGAGCCCATGGAAGCCCACAGGGGACTTTATATATATTTTGATGGGTGTTTTTTGTAGCTACTCTGAAAAACCTCAGAAAAGAAGCTTGTTTCCAAGGTCATTAGAGAGCAACAGAAGAAAGAAACATACAGATGTCAAACAGGATTTTTCCAGTTTTCACCAAGGACAATAGTGATGAAACAACTAAATAAAACATAAAACCTTTATCCTTATTCATAAAATTATTCAGATAACAATTTAAACAATTAAAAAAATCTATCTCTTATTTCATTCCACTCAGTTTCAGGATGGTTCCGGTCACATTTTCGACTGCCAGGATAAACTATCTGAAACACAGTTCTTACTAGCTTCAAAAGCTGAGAAAAAGGTTTACTTTTTAATAAAAAACCCTGCTAGGATCCTGCCATTAGTTAAGAAACAGTTTATATTGTGGGTGGGATAGTGAAACATCTGACATTTATCTCCATCAGATAAACTGCATGATTGTTTTATGTGCCATGGTGTTTTGTAAGGGTTTATAGATGGTTTTGGCAGGGGGAGGATGTTGATTCATTGGCCTCATAGAGATTAGCCCCTTATTCCTTGACCATCTTCTCTAATGCAGGCAGAATATGGAGCTTTTTTCTGTGAAAACCCAGTTCTCTTTAAGTTGAGTTAAAGCTCTTTTCTTGACAACAGAAAGTGTGTCCTTGTTGGGGCAGCCCTCATGATAGGTATGTTCACGCACGATTCAGTTGGGTACGAGCTCTCCTAGATGTTGTAGTATAATGCAGTGCACCATTCTGGTACATCCACTAGTGGGGAAATAGCCCCATAGGGTTTTTCAGTAATCCACCAGGAAGACCAAGGTCTCCAATACATATAAGCTATGCTGAAAGGAATAAAAAATATGTAATTAGGTAAGTAGGATATGGAATCACTAAAGCCTCTCTGACAGGGTTATTATTCCTTTAGGAAATTCTTTGTTTCCTAGGGTATGAAAATAACTATTACATTACTGTTGGTGTTGTGCACAGTTCTGTATTTGCCAATTTATGTAATGGTGACTTCTGAGAACTCCAGCCAAGGATCAAGGCATTTAGTTGCTGCACAGACGAATAAAGGCAACATGTCCTTTTCCTGCTCCCTCACTCCCAATTGCTCACAATATACAAGTCAGTCCAGAGGTGAGCAAAGAGGCAAAGGGGATTTAAGAAGGAGTAGGACAGAGGCTACACTGAGAAAGGATAAGAGCAGTTCTCCATTTAGTCTTTTTGCTTTTGAATAGAAAAAATACCAAAATTGATGTCACTGGAAATGCAGAATGGCATAGCAACAAGCCAAAGATGTGCTAATTTTATTTTGAATGTAAATGTTTTAGATGAGCTGTAGACTTTTTCTCTACTCTCTGTTAATTTTTCAAGTCATTTACTGTCCCTTAGTTTACTTCATTGAAAAGGAAACGAGTAATGGGTACGTTACTCTTAATGTTGACCTGTGTGTTAATTAGTACTTGCAGAGACATTTGAAGTGAAGGCGCAACATAGTGTATATACTAATTATTACTGCTTTTGCAGCTATCTTGAACAGAACCATGTTGTGTTGATAAATTGACTGAAAAGCTATCTAACTTCATTAGAAGTTCCTGATTCCTCCAAGAATGGCAAGATCACAGAATCACAGTTAATATAAAGTCCCGTAAGATCTTTGGTCTTCATGACAAAAAATGTATGAGCATCACCAAATTTTTTTTCTACAGAAGTTAGAAAAAGGACATACTACATTTTCATAGCTTTTCTAGACCAAAAACTTTCCAATGCCATGTTTTCAATATCATCTGTACTCCTTTGTCTAGTCTAGTTTTGCAGGCTTCAGAGAAAGGAGCTTTATGAATTCCCACAGTACTATTTCAGAGTTTAAGAAAACTTGTAATGTTGGGACTTACTTGATATTTCTTCAAGCCACAAATGTCCAGCGTGTATAAAATACTACACTGGAGAGAAAGAGGTTATCAGGCGTTATCAGTCCAAACTTTCTGCAGTAAAATAGCTCTTATGAAAACATCCTTCACTGGGAATTCTTGACCACAATTAGAGTCCTGTTCTTTTTTTTGAGAGAGATTTTTTTTTTCTTGTCTGTTCTAAACAAGGCTGAAAAAAAGTATTTACTAAAAAATGTAAGGAAGGAGGAAAAAGTCAAATGCTCAGCAAGGGAAGAAGACAGCTTGGATCAGTGAGTGTAACACTGATCAAGGAAAAGATCAAATCATTGCTTTTCATAGGCACCATGAGGAATTTTGTGTCTAGCATCCATTATGTCCTCCATTAAGAGAATTACAGAATCTGGTCCCCTCTGAGTTTCTCTCCCAGAGCTTTAAAAGACATTGAGGCCATCAGAGTTGCCAATGGGTATTAGGAAAATTCAAAATCCTGTATCCATCTGGCTGGTAAAGAACCAACAGATTTTTTTGGAATATGGTGATAGTTAATGATGAAACTCGCTGGTGGTTCATGCCAGACTGCTCCTGTCCTTGCTTTCTGACTATTCACTCACCAAGATACTGGTGAGTGGAAAGTATCAGACTGATATAGTGCAAGTTAATTATTTAAAAGCCCCTTTCAATTCAAGGATGAGAAATTGTGTTTCCCTGTGAGTGAGAAGTGTCCATACTTACACTGAGATGTACCACAGCATGGTACATATATTCATATTCCGTATATTCAATACCACATATTCAGACTTACGTTCTTTGCAAAGGGCCTCAGATCATGCCAGGACACAGATCCACCAAAAGTCCATCAGAGCCAATGGGAACTTTTCTTTGTCAGTGGATGAGGTTTCTATTCTTATCTCAGAGTTATAAAACCAGAACAAGAAAGGTATTCAGGTTCCTGGCTTCTTATTAGAAACTTGAAATCCCATCAAAATCTGCAGAAATCTATACAGACTACTCTGATGTTCATTTGTATGCATACCAAATTTAAATTCTCTTAAATAATAATGGACCTCCGTGAGTATTTTCAGTCTGGGAAAAGCTTGAGTTTATCTTTTTTCTTTTTGGAAACTCTAAATGAGGAGTTTTTCAAATTCTATTTGGTAGTACACAAGACTCATGATTTAAACATTTTTAAAGCAGAAGCCTCAGTGACAGTAACAAAAATACCATGGTTTGGCACCATACTAAATTATATAGGCAAGAGTTTTTCATGACAACATTTTAAAATATATGCCACTTTTTTCACAGTCCTTGTAGGAATGAACAGTATCTTGGTAAAAAAACATTTGAAGACACAGCAAGATGACATAGGGTAGCACCCATAGAATTCATCACCTATTTGAACATATGAAACATTAGGAGATTTTCATAACCGGTGCAAGATAAGCTTTGTTTATTTGCTTGTTATTAGAGGCAGGAGCTAATAAAGAGGAGCTAGCTGGAGATCTTAATTTTAAGTAGAACTTGCATCTTAATGATAAAACCAAAAGTACCTTCTTAGCCAGACAAGGGAACAGGATGTGTTTTCATTCTGCTCTGGTCTCTATCATAAAGCTGTCCAGATGGAGGTCTTTTAATTGATAGCTAATTCTTCTTTATTTAATTCTTGCAGGGTACATGCAGCTTTACTTTGGTGCAGATTGCCCAGCCCCTTTTTAGGTTTGCTTTGATTTCTAATCTCGAATTAAATTATAAGTCTCAGTGATAAGGCATGAACATTGAAACTCTGTCCCCAACCAAATCCTGCTCACCCTTGTCCAATGCGTGAGAGCGTATCTCCTGTCGCAAGCCTGCAGCTCGTAGAGTCAGTAGCCACTACAAGGCCTCTCTTACTTGATTTTGCACTTACAATCTTAAGTCAAATTCCCTGTTGTGTAGCTAATATGAACAAATTATGTCTCTCTTTTTGTTTGTTTTGTCTCTTTCCCACAGGTAAAATTAGTATTTTCAAAGGAACCTTCAAAGCCGATGGCTCCACGAATCTTACCAAATCCTCTAGCAGCTGCAGCAGCAGCTGCTGCTGTGGCTGTGAATTCCCCCTTCAGTCTTCGAACAGCCCCAGCAGCCACCCTTTTCCAGACTTCAGCACTTCCTCCAGCACTCCTACGACCAGCTCCAGGGCCTATACGGACCACCCATACTCCTGTGCTGTTTGCTCCTTACTGAACTCCAAACAGGAATTAATTGTACTGCAATAATTTTTCAAATCAAAACAAACAAACAAAAAAGAAAATCAAGAACATTGAACTATGCAGTGTTTATTTATAGTTTAAAGTATATATGAAGAGCCAGGACTTTTGATAGAGAACTGAACAAATTCTAAAAGGGGGAATGGGCAGTATTTTCTCCAGATGAGAACATTCCTCTTGAGTATTGATCGTTTTAGAACTGATCTCCAGCATTGACTTGTAGTGACATATAAAACTTATGAAGCCTTTTGACTGTGCTTTTTGGCACATATTTCCCTGCAATGTCTTTCCTGCTTTATGAAACAACTTACAAATTTGTCTAAAGGGCATTAACTGGTTCCAATGTACATAAAATACTTTATTCTGTAGATTAAAGAAGAAGGAAAAAAAAGAAACACTGTGAATAGTAGTACCCTTACCAATCCTCCTGCCAAATCAGCAGTTACTGGGTATTTATCTGAACAAAAGTAGATACAATAGATGTCTTGTAAAACAGTAGTATTGTGTCTCTATCTATGCCACTAGGTTTCTAACAGAGTTGCAAAAGATAAAATGAACAAATTACGTTGCTTTGGTAAGCAGTCAAAAATGATGACAATAATGTGGAGCTGTTCCTGGTGAGCAAAAATTGTTTTCCTCACCCGTAGAGGAATGGGTGTGAAGATAATCTATGGTTACGGCAAAGTAAATGATAAAGAAGATTTAGTGGGGGAGAAAAACAAAAAAATCCAGATGCTGTACACAGAATAGGTCGAACTTTTATTTAACTGAGAACGTATGTGTACAGTGTGTGTATATTCAAAAGGTGCAATACATACAAGATAGATCAATGTTTAAGGCATGCCAGTGGACAGCAAAAAATACACTCTTGTCATGAAACAGGCCTGACACTTTAGTGTTGAGCAGAGGGAAGACACAAATGGGTTACACATAGTCATAACTAGCAAATGAAAAGCAGGAGAGAAATCCTGGCCTCATTTAAGTCAGCATGAGGTTCCTCCTGACTGCAGTGTAGCCAGAATTTCATCCCAAGAATGGCACATATTCTTTTTATATCACACCAGTGGGAGAGTCTGTAGATACAGGTAACATTTTTTGCAATAGGCTTAGTCTTAGAAACAGATTTATTCTCTTGTTTTATTTCCTACTGATGTGATATAAAATGTCTTAGTAGACCTATAAAATGTAAACAGCAACACATGAGATACATATTGCGAGATAACTGCACATTGTGGGTTTGGAACAAATACAACCTTTAGGATCTGAAGGGACCCTTGAATTCTGTAGCTGACCTTTATGTATGGACAGCTTAAAGCCTTATATATTTACTGTGAGGCTTAAAGGGGTTGACTGTGTCCCTTTAAAGTAAGATTTATCAGGGGTATATATAGATATATTGTATATATGTTAGAGTAAGAAAAATAACTTATAAACAGAAAATCTACTATATAAAATAATTATATAACCATTGAGTTTCACATGTGGGTCATTAAGTGGTAAGTAACAAACAGCAGAGAAAAAAATAGACTTCTTGAATCTGATTCTTGCCGCCTGCTTTTTCCCATAGGGAGCTGAAAAGTATCTATTAATATTATGGAGTGCGCTGCTGAGTCACATGCGACCACTCTGATGTGTAGCTAAGTGAAATGCCTACCATACATTTAGGAGGAATAAAATTTAAAAACATAATTTAAGTTTAGATGGGGAAATGATTTGAAAGATTTTATTAAAAGGTAGTAATGCAAAATATTGACCATGTGGTGGTTATATAATACTGCCTGTGGTTAATATGGACAGTTGAGAGATATAGAGGATGGGAATATACAGCACTTTTGACTTGCAGTTCATCAGTGAGCCTTCCATATACATTGGTATTTGCCATTTTTTAAACCTCTCTGCATTTAGATTTTATAAAAAAATATATATAAAAAGAGAGAAAGAAGAGGTTCCATGGATGTCTGTGTCCAAAGAATTCCAAAGAGATGCATTTATTTATCTAGAAGTATTAAAATAAGTTCTATATTATGTATTTGTATTTCATCCAGTTTATTTGCAAACGTTTGTGCCTTGAAATGAAATGGGCTTTTGATTATACTTAATTCACTCCTATGTAGCCATGAAAAAGATGCGATGGTGATTTCAGGGCTGGTTACTAGCTGGATTGCTTTGGCCCAATTTCCAAAACAAGAAGAGTATGAGTAAGATCCTGAAGCCAAGTTTAGGCACCTAAATAACTAGGGGCTGACATTTAAAAGGGCTCCCTACTCTACAGCTCCCAGTAAAGAGGCAGTAAACAGGCCAGCCTTCAAAACCTGCACCTACCACTCAATTTAGAAAATGTTTCCTTTTATTTGGGTACATAAATATAGTGTAGTGTAGTAACGTTCAACTCCTCTTAGCAAAACCTTGGCCTTGGTCTTTCAAGCCTGCTTTCAACCTTCCATCTTTTTGCAGAAGTTGTAGTGCCATTGCCAGCTGTGTTCAGTTTCCTCCTTGAATAGGGCACCGGTTTTCAAGCTGTGCTCCATGAACCACCGTTTATCTCCAGAGCCTTTTGTAATAGACTGTGTAAGTAAGAGCTTGCTAAATGAGCAGAGGAGGACTGGCGTTTTGGGAAGGGAGAAGGTCTGGGAAGGCGATCTTTTCCCCATGAAAAAAATACACAGATGGGAAAAAGGGGAGACCCACAAATAACCTGTAGGCTCTTACGCATGGCCTTCTGGTGCATGGACACCTGCTGTACATCCTGCCATGTTGTTGTGATGCCATCAAAATCAACAGGCTGATCCTTGCCAAAATGTGGCCTGTGGCATGTATGGAGGCACAGTACTAAGGGCAGAGTTAATACAAGTTTTGCTAGAAATAAAAAGAGTGTCATTCCAACTACTTTCATCAGCTAATTTGCAATGACACCTTCAGTTTTCTTGGACCTCTTTTGTCACAGTGCTCTATGGAACAAGTTTTTGTTCACACAAGTCTCTTTTAAATTTCAGCTGTAAACAACAAACTCAATTCTTTTTATGTCTCTTACTCACTACCTAATAAAGGATAAAGCCTAAATGTTAGAATGTATAGTGGATTTTCTGTGCCTTGCTGTTCCACCACCCTCTTGGTCAGTAACAAGTCAACTTACCCGGGATGTCAGCACAACAGTTTTATTATATATATATATATATATGTCAAGGAAAATACTGGCACAGTGATCTGATTGGGCAAGGGCAGCTTCCAGTCAAGGGTATGTCCACAGTAGCTGACAAAGGAGCTAGCAAACAGAAGACACTTTACACCTGCTTGCCAATACATTCAATATGGAGAGCACTATAAAAGAAAAATGTGTCATCATATTTCATATTACAGTAACACGCCAGGGCTAAGAGGAAGCCTAAAGCACAAGGAAACAGATCATTTCATCGGAGACACAGTCACTCACTGGAATAAGTGTGAATCAGCCTGCAGGGAAATGGCTGGGTATGAACTTGGAAAAACAAATAGGTTCAGCGATGTTTTCTTAAATTCCATACAAAGTGTTAAAGAATGACTATTCTGTTCTGACCCAAAGAGATGGTATTTTTGTGGGAGGGATATATATATATTTATATTTTTACTCTATCTGCATTTTTCCAACTATCTCTGGCTTCAAACCTTTGTTCTGAAGGATCATCATTGCTCTGAACCATGAAATCAGTTACCTTCTTGAAAGCTGCTGTAAAAGCTGATGTGAGAGGTCAGGAAGCAAACGGTGTAAGTATGATGATCTAAAATGAAAAAAAAATGAACCGGCCATGTCAAGGAATATTGTATTTGAAAAGTATACATCTTTATTTTAAGATAAATTAAAGTCATTTAAAATTAAAAATAGCTAAATAAAGTTAATATAACTAGAAGAATTACATCTGTCATTTTAGTATTGGAATATTACAATTGGCTCTGTATTTTAAAAGATAAAAAGACTTTTTAGATGCTGGATCAATGCAAGGATGCTATGGGTAAATTTAATGTCTCACACTCATTATCTTCCAGTTACGCCAGGAATACCATAACTGAATGGACCTGCCCTGAGTCACTTCTATTCTGATCCCCAAAGATACAGTAGAGCATTGGCCTGATATTCCCTGAAAGCTGAAATCATGCTTCTTAGGAGCCCCTGCTTCTGCCTTCTGCTCCCAGTAAACACGTAGTTTTTAGAGTCTCTTCAAAGCATCTTGGGAATTTCTATCTTAACATCTCTCATTTTTTACAAAAATAAATGTCATTTTATGAACATAAGACCAAAGCTGAGGAGCAAGACCTGAAAAGGTAGAAGCAAGACCTGAAAAGGTTTCTTCATGATTACAACATTCTTGTGGCTAAATACGAAGCACAGATACCCAAATTGTTTGGCTGCACAAATCTCTCTGCAAACATGTGAAGTCGGAAGCCTAAACCACTTTATAAGGAATCTGTTCTTTTTATTATTATAGGTGTCTGAATTTCCATTTTTAAAATTGACTTCAGCACAGTTCAGGCTTCAGGGCTCCAAGCACCTAAAGCTCACAAGAAAATAACTGTGGGCTTCCTATTTACCTAGATGCATGTGAAAATGCGAGCCAATGCTATGTAAAATAATACAGATTTTTTTTTACATCACATCTTCCCTTGTCCTCATTGTTTATCTGTAAGTGCCATTACTTCAGTGCTAGTGAATCATACAGAAGCTTCTGTGCTGGTATTCAGTGTATGACTGAAAGAAATAGTAATACTGATAAATCCTATCTTAAACTAGTCAAAATCTCAAACACACAGTTAAGGGTTTAGTCAAGGACAAGAGCTTTATGCCCTCTCACACCTACAGGTTTATTAAAATTCAGGACCATTTAGGAGTAAATGTAACTATCTGGAGGATGGTTATTACATAGCCTGATCTGAAATGTCAGGGTCTGAAAGAGTCTGTGCTCCAGACCGAAATTAAGAATCCTATGAAAACCATAATGCTCTTAACCCTGGGACTCCTGAAAGCAGTTGCAAAGATCTTTGACTTCAGTAGAGGCAATTTTTTGCCCTAGGTGCCTGAGGCCTTTTGCAGTCATGCTGTGTACTGCAATTAGGTGTCATTCAACTCTGATTCAGTATTGATGTATTGATAAAGAAACGAAGCTGAGCCTGAAACATGATTAGTAGCTACCTAGTTCCTGTGATCAGCTTCATGCTGGGACGATGCTTGGGTGGTGAAATAAGAAGAGTCAAAAGAGTCAATGTAAAGAAACTGGTAAACTA